GGTCCCGCCGGCGGCTGCACCGAGGGGCCCACGCTGTCGCCCGCGGGGTAGCTGCAGCTGTAGCGGGCGCCGTAGGCTGCAGCGGAGGAACCGCTGTAGGCATAATTGGGGAATCCGTTGTACGGGTAGGAGGCGGCGGAAGCGTTGTAGGGTGCGCTGTAGGCCTGCGAGCCGCCCAGGCATGGCTTGCCGTCCCTCACTAGCACCGGCACCGCCACCCTGCGTGGCGGCGGCGGCGGCGGCGGCGGCGGCGCTGGAGACTGCTGGGCCGCCCCAGACGCCGGGCCGCCCAGTTCTAGAGCCTTGTCCTGCCGCTGCCGTTTGCACTTGTAGCGCCGGTTCTGGAACCAGATCTTGACCTGCGTGGACGTGAGCTTGAGGCTGCTGGCCAAGAGCTCCCGCTCAGGAGCGGAAAGGTAGCGCTGCTGCTGGAAGCGCCTCTCCAGCTCGAATACCTGCGCCTGCGAGAAGAGCACCCGCGGCTTCCTCCGGCTGCGCGCCTTGGGACGCTCCGACGCCTCCTCCGCGGGCTCCTTGCCTGCAGAAAGGGCGAAAGTAGAGAGGAGTAATCGAGCAAGAACCCGCTGGGATTAAGGGTGAGGCAGCCGCCTCTGCGCTCGATGGCTGCCCCGAAGCCATTGATTTCGGTGCAGCCAGCGCCTGGAGAAACCCCTTATAGAAGGCCATTTCCGGACTTCTGCACACCTGAACAATCTGATGCCCTTTCCATGTTTTGGGGCACTGCACCTACAGTCCCTGCCAGCCTGATGAGGATAATGGGAATGGGGGCATCAACTGTTCTCTGAATGAAGGAATCCCCCTCGCTGAGAAGCCTCCTTCTTCTACCACCTTCTTCTACTGAGTGGGGCCTTTGATTTGTCCCAAAGTCCCTCCTGACACAGCCAAAGAAAAGTCAGGCCACAATACAGTAAATCCGTAGGCTTCCTATAGTGATTTGCTGGGCAGGTTTCAGCATAAATCCCATGAAGAATCCATATCTGACTGAGATCATGCTTCCCACCAACTACAAACTACAAGCCACTGTGGCTGAATTCAAGCAGTACACCAATCTGAAACAAACCACCTTCTGCGTTAGTCTCTATTTTGCAGGACTTTCACTCACGTCCCAATGATTACAGACTGAAGATGCCACAAGAGGCAAGAGGCACAAAAGAACTTCTGGATTTTTTTTTTAAACTATGCAAAAATAAACTGCGAGCTGAATAGCATCTTGATTGGATAAGTGCAACAAGAAGACCCACCACTTACAAATTAGGAGCCCAGCCAGGTTTGCAATGGTCCACACGTTGGTCTCTGACTGCAGAGAGTTCTGTCTCCTGGGCTTGGAAAAGAGACAGCAGCCCTTGGAGGCCCGGAGCTGCCTGTTATTTTCCTCACCCAGCGCCTGGAGTCATTGAGCTGACATTATAATGGGATTGGTTGCCGGAAAGAAGTGGGAGCTGCAAGAGGGCCCTTGCTCATGGGATAAGACAAGGACAATTGCAGTATGCCCCCCACCCCACCCCCTGCAGATCCAACAGCGCTCTTCTCTACCCCATCACCAAGCCCAGGCCTGGCTGGCCTGTTCTAGACAGACCAGGAGTAACCTGCTTTCCACACTCCTGAGCAAAGTCTGGCTGCCAGATTCCCCACCCCACCCCTTTGGATGCCTTTCCGTGAGGGCCTGTGAGAGACCCCGCAGCCTCTACAGCTGACCTCCTATCGCGGACCCAAGGAAGACTTGCCTGCCTGGGCTCAGGCGTCTATCTCCTCACCTCTTTGAGAGGGGCTGGATCGGCCTGACCGACAATAGCAGTTGGTTTTCTGCTTTTCTGCTTAGCTTACAGTACAAAGTTAACCTGGGAGGGTTTCCCATTCAAATAAATCAATCTTACTTCATAATTAAAAATCACACAAATACACACACACACACCCCTCAACATGAGCCGGATGGACGACCTTTTAGAGACACAGTCGGATGCATGTGGTCCATTACTTCGCGATGGAGATCATAGCCCAGAGTGCCTCCTCAGCAGTCAGCCTTTTCCAGTGGAATGGAAGGCAATTTACTCTCCAGAGCAGCCTCAATCACGTTCCCATCGTCCCAGCCTGACCATGCAAGCTAAAGGATGGGGTTAGCAAAGCAGAGACCATCTGGAGGGCCCAAGGAAAGGGGTTAGAGCAGACTGAAGCCAACTTGTGGAGAGAGAAGAAACACCTCGGAAAAAGTCGGGAAGGTGTGATCTACGCTCAAGCATCCCGCCCGGTCTGCTCCGGGTGACAGAGGAATTGTCTGGCCCACTCCCGAGGAGGACAGGGCAACGCGGTTCCTAACGACTCTGGGTCACTTTAGGAAAGCTCTTCTGGAGGGGCTTGGCCGACCGTCTGCGGGGTTAGGCGTGGCATGCTACCGGCCCTAAAGCCTCCCAGGCTCGGAAGGCCCGGCGCCCTGGCCACGTTCTCCCGGTACTCACCGGTTCCCGAGTCCCGCGCCGACTCTGCCTCCTCCACCAGGCCTTTGGGCTCGCAGGTGCCCCGCAGCACCGCCTGCACGTAGCTGCCGGGGGAGAACCCCTCGTCCCCTTGGCTCTTTGCTGCCGCCATAGAGGTCAGGAAGGGCTGCTGCTCCTTGCTCTCTTCGTCGTCCTCCCCGTCTGAGAAGTGGCAGCCCAGCAGGCACGAGCCAACGGCGGCGGCGGCGAAAGGCGGTTCGAGGGGGGCCCCGAGACGTTGCTGCTGCTGCTGCTGCTGCTGCTGCTGCTGCTGCTGCTGCTGCTGCTGCTG